CCAGACGATACGAGCAGAAACAGTCGAAACGTTCGCGTGTTTGTAAATAGCGTTGCTAAGAATAACATCCAGCACCTCTGGTTCTTTTTACGAATAAGTATTGATTTCGGTAGCACGAATAGAATGGACGGCCTCTTTTTCTTCACACATTTTGGTGAACCCAAGCTATGGTCAGTCTGTCGGAGTGGTACAACGACCTAGCGCCCAACTTCGTCCTATTTGCAGTCTAAGAACGCGCGAAGTATATACTGTGCAGTGCTAATGAGCAGAGTGAGTACAGCGTTTGTCCTAACCAAATATTGGCTTCCCTGGTGGTGCCCAGCGAACTCTATTTTCTTTCCAACAATATTAACTATGTAACAGGTTACCGACACTGGGAGCTTTAACTGCAACGTAACACTGTTTTTATTCGCAACAGCTGTCGGGCTCACTTACATAACTGGTTTGCAACTGTCAATTTACGCAACCATCACTGGAGCGACTGTTTACACCTCCCCAGCGCAAGCCGTCAACTGACATCAGAATACATGTCAGAATTGGTCGGAAGTTGGTGCCGTATAACCAGGTAACACCCCAAACCAAGTCTCAAACGGACTTACCGCATAACCATGTAACACCCCAAACCAGCATCAAACGGACTAGCAGTGTGGCCAGGTAACACCCCAAACCAGCAGCAAACGGACTCGCCGCGTAGCCAGGTAACACCCCAAACCAGCATCAAACGGACCAATCGCGAGATTAACACTGACGTCTCGAGCGGTTCGCCAGCAGGGCCTGCTGACAGCCGGCCTGCACGCCCCAACACCGGCGACGTGGGTAACACGACGCTCCAAGCACCATCGCCACGTGTTCTCGGGCCCGGTGTCGGGTCGACACGGCTGGCCGGCGGACGGCGCGGGTCCGGCTGCAGGCCTCAGCCGACCGTTTGCTATGCAGACACTTGCGCCGGCATGTCGCCGTTCTCGTCCGCGCCGGTAACGGCCGTGAAACGCTGACGTTATCTGGGAGGCCACAGAGGCAAGGGGGCATACGTCCATGACGCGTGTACAAATGGTGGAGTGGGATGGAGGAGTGGGATGATGATGATGATTTGGGGTTTTAGGGCGCATCAACTGCTGAAGGTCATGCAGCGCCCATATGGAGGAGTGGGAGGAGTGGGATGGAGGGAAGGGGTAGTGATGACTGCATCACGCGGCTTGATTCACGTTACACAGCAGTAACGCTACAAGTCATGGCGCCAGTGTGACGCCTGGTCTATGGGGATCCAGCTGCTGTTATGGAGCCAGCAAACAGATATTGCAGGATGATAAAAGCACTGAAGCAGTGGCATCGGTGTTGGTTCCAGGGAGTCACACAAGACCTCCCTTCCCTCCCCACTGACAACGTCCATGGACACAACGCTTGCAGGCTGCAGGATCAGAAGACAACGACAATGCACTCAAGCTCATTGCAACGCGACAAAACACAACAACGTGGACTCCCACCAGAATCACTCCTTTTCGTTACCGTTCCCATACTTCCCGCCACCTATAATCCAAGCGACCCACTTTGATGCACGAACCCTCCATCTCGGCGAGCTCGGGACGCACCGCCATGAAGTCCGCCAGCACTGGCAGCGCGCAACGCCCGGACCGCGCGGGACGCTCCCACACTCCGCAGCGAGCATCGGCTACAGGCGCCGCCGATAATATCACCGAACGCGGAGAGCGTCCGCCAACTCAGCCGACAGCAACTGCCCGGCCGCGGCCGCGAAAACGCGCCGGCGCCGCGCCGTGGGCGATCCTCCGCGGCCCCCCTGCGTTCAGTTGACGTCCTTGTTCGTTGCAAAGCAGGCAGAAAAGGCCTCTGGCGGACTCGACAGTGTGCAGGAAAACATGGAGCCGACTTCCCGCAGCGGGGGTGCACCGCACGGCGGCGTCATCCACCTGCCGTTGTCCAGTTACCGGCGGCGTGTCACACCCGCATGATGGCGTGATGATGATTTGAGTGACGATGATATGAATGATATGATGATGACGAATAGGGTTTAAGAGCACGCCGATTTGCGAGGTCATTTTGCGCCCACTGCATGGTGGTGTCCGCGACGCTAGGGGACGCCCAGGTTACTGCCGCTGCCGGGGCGTCTTCCCGGCCACGGATCGCCAGTAATCGACCAGTTACTGCCGCTGCCGGGGCGTCTTCCCGGCCACGGATCGCCAGTAATCGCCCAGTTACTGGCGGCCGTTGCGAGACGGGTTCAGGGTACCGAAACAGCTGCGTCAGGAGAATTGTCAACGGAAAGTTTTCCCGCAGAACACAAGTGCCCCGCAGTCCAGCCAGCACGAAGGTCCAGCCAGCACAGCCGGCGGGGGGAGGGGGAGAAGGAAGTCCGCCAAAAATGCCCAGATCCCCGTGGCTCCGCGGAGGCCTTGGGCGAGCAGCGGCCAGCCCATTGTTCCGACCGTCCGTCCCGCTGCAGCGCACGCGTTTGTGCCACCCGCTCCATCCAGAGCACCGTCTTGGACCGCGGTCATCGGTTACTCCCCCCCCCCCCCTCCCTTCCTCCAAGCGCCATGCCGGCCCGGTGACGTCCCTGCCCAGCGGTCTTACAGAGCGCCGCAGAGCACCGTCTCTGGACAATCCCGCCAAGTGGAACGTCAGGTCATCAGAATGTTGCAGCAGACGTTGATCAGTATAGCCAGATCGTCACGCTTGGTCTCGTCTTATTCGCTTCGCGAACATCTCTTCATCAGAGAGAGGCAGTTTGGAAAACGAATAAATAGGAACGTCATTCCAGGCCTTTAAAAGAAAGCGTGCGTGACATGGTGACCGAAACACGTTTGATATAACGACGGATGTCAAACATAATAACTGGATGATGTGCGGGAAACGCCAAAACACTGCCAAAAATACGTGGACAAATGTAGCATGCAGCACAAGTGGGAAGGCACAAAATGAAGGCAGAGGCGCCAGTGTTACGGCTTTGTTCGGCTTATCCACCGGCGTTTTTCAGCAAATGACGCATGCACACAGGTAGTTCCCCAAACAACCCCAATAAGCACTCGCTACAATGAGTGCATGGCACTAGAACATACCAAATGTAGAATAAAAGGAGCTGGCACTGCAGAAAACTTGACTTGACGCAGCGGCCACACTACTACACCAGTGGCTCAGTGGCGCACGACCGGGTCACTGGCAATAGCGGCACCACGACATCCACACAAACCCGACTCGACGACAGCTCAGACCGCCCGCACGCCCCGCTCGTCGCAACCATCCCTGAAAAACGGCGGTCAGCCGGCCGGTGGCTCAGCCAATCACAATAATCTCCACGCGCGAGCGAGCGCGCGCCAGTGTCGCCAACACGGTGGCAGCAGCGCGAATTCCACCAAAAATATAAACAGGGAAAGGCCGGGCGGCGCTCAACAGCTGCCACTTGTCCCGACCATACCGACCTGCCGGTCTGGGACGGAAGCGTGCCCCAGCCGACTGATCGTCGCCTGCCGGGTCGGGGTCGGGCGCAGGCGGGTGTCTTCCGACCCACCACATGAAACGACGCTCAGAGGGAGGCGCTGTACAACTGGCCGCTGTGAGAGCGCCGTTTTCGACCGGTGCGAGTTTCAAAAAATCGGGGGCGTGCCCCACCAATCCGACACCTTCCAGCCTGTCCACATCCAGCACCCAGGGGGCACGGATTGGGCAGGGGTCAAAATAACTGGCAACCGGAGTTCAAACGATTTCCTGGAGGGGAATACGCAGGTTCTATGAGGGGGGGGAAGGGGGTACACCGATTACTAACAACACGGTCGAAACAAAAGAGTCACCACTGCCTCCCGAGGAGAGGCACAGACGCTCACATTCCAGCCCCCCCCCCCCCGACCGCATTGGAGAAAACCCTGCCTGCAACCCAAATCGTCTCCTGTAATGTGTTTGAATCGCCTGTCATTCTGCGCGAAGACAGCGCCCTACAGCGTCATCAGTTATCCAGATAGCTATGGCGACTGTCGGCACAGGCACGAGCCTCCGTCCGATAGCATTCCAGCCGCCGGGGTGACACCCCGCGCGACGAGAAGGCGAAAATTAAGACGAGTGTGCTGCCTGAGAAATTTATCTAGGTTCGCGTTGTTTCCTTTCCGTTCCGTCGCGTTCTCCCGTTCTGTTTTCCCCAAAATATTCAACTTGCGAAAAAGTCTGACGTAAAAGGCATGCACCGTATGTCTCAGCCAGAACCCGAGCCGCCGAGCAAACATGTGCAGGGACCTGAACAGAACACCTACTCAGAACATCAGTTGTCTTAACTCGCTATTTCTGCCCCGCACCTGCGGCTGCGTGAACGCGTGGTCCGAAATGAAGAAATCGCGTATGGCACAAATACGAACAATATATGAGGGGCACACGCACTAATCTTGAAGAAATAGGTCCTGCACAGGTCCCTGTTCATATGTCAAAGCTATATTCCTACAAATGCGGTAAACTTCCAGATAGAAATGCTTGCCAATGGCCATCCCACCCACAGGGCTGCGCTCAAAATCACCAAAAGAGCGCGCGAGCTACGGCCCAAGAACCGAGGTTCTTTGTCTCCATTTTGTTTCACAACCACGCCGACCAACTCCATGTCGGATATCACGATCCTGAGTATCACATCCACAGACAACCGAAGTATGGAAAAGTAAAGCAAAGAGCACATCAAACATGCTCACTGGCGACCATGTTCATGCCCCGGCAACGGGCCACAGTCCTACAATTTGATTCCGCGATCTCGTCCAAGGCCGCCGCTGCCGGACACGCAGGCGGACAGCGGCAGTCCCACCGTGCTCGCGAATCGACGTCGACCCCTCTCTCGGATGACCAACATACTGGCGGCACGCCGGTTGAGCTGCCGCCAGACGTGCGCCCCCGTGGCGCTGCGATCAAAAAGGGGCGCAACCCGACACACAAACAATCATTCCTCACAGTCTCGCGGGCCGCACACAAAGCAGGTTCATTGACTCGGCCCTCGCCAGGTTAGCACGATTTCTTACCATTGGTCGAGCTTCTTCAGTTCATCTGGCTTCTTATTCTTTGTCTGTGACTTCAGAGCTAATGCTTGAGGGTATAATTTGAACACAAACTGAAACTGAGCACTGTTTCCTTTCGCTAAAAGGACAGACGTATTTCTCAGTTCTGTCTCCATCACGACGCGTTTCCCGGCCGCCAACGAACGCCGCCTGACAGAGATTACAGACATGCCGCACCGCGGCGCTGTCGTCGAGGTTTTCCGTTCTCGCCGTGGGCGTCTACCGCTCTACCGACTCTACTGTGCAGATAATTGGTCGAATACCACGTGGTATCGCTTGGTCGTTGTCTTGGAAACGACACCCAAGCATTCCGATCATGTTGTTTACGTCCAAAGTGACATGGGAAGGGGGGCATTGGGGGCGGGTGGGGGAGAAATTGTCCATTGTTTTCGTTGGGGGAAGGGAGGGTCTGGTGGGGAGTGCGATTAGAAGGTACGTGGAACATAAAAAGTTGTGTTGATCGCGTGCAGGACGATCGTGATCTTTTTAACCATGACAGGGCGTATGACATGTCAAGGTGTCTAGGTATCTAGTCGTAAACTCGGAAGCTGTCAGGCACTATCCTCTCACTTAATTGGGTAATAAAGTTAGGCTTTATCATGAGCAAGAGGTTGTTGACATATTTATGAGTGTTCCTGCCTGGCATAAATAATTTGACTCAACAGTGTTGGTGCTCTCATGTAGTTTCAGTGCATCAAAACCATTTGGGTGTCACCCAGGTCTCAACCTTCCACAGTGGATCAAGTGTGGGAGGCCAAGGTCCCAAAACACCATGTCACAGTGAGATACTGTGTATTTTGGTGCATTAAGCCAGCACATGTTGCCCAAATGTATTGGTTTCTATCCCAAATAGGGCAAGGTTCAGTCTGTTCCAGATGTTTTTTGCCATCCTTGCCATGGTTTGCCTTTTTGGACCCTGGTCTGGTCTGCAAAAATTTTTGCCTTCTGTGCCAGGATGCCTATCCGACAACAATGTGGTGAACCGTGTGTTTGCTTGTGCCATACTCAGGCCAGACTAATTGCAATTGGTTTTTAACTTATTTTTATATGAAAAATCAAGGTACTTATGCTTAAAAATGCCTTTTCAATCTCTGAATTATTTGAAGCACTGGTGCTAAACATGAGCACTGTCAATGAAAATAAATGAAACTATTTCACCCTACCTCCACTGCAGGTGTAACAAGATGTATTTGTGTGGTTTGGGCCCGGTCATCAAGAACTGTGGTTAGTGATATGCATACACCCTTAGGCATTTAAGTGTTAGATCATAGATGCCAGGCAATATGTTTCAAGCTTATGACCTACCATGTCTTGCAGTTTTGTTTTGCTCTTTGTTCCAGGGATTTTCTAATTTTCTGGCATTCTAAAATTTGGCGCTCAAGATGGGAGACAGAAAAATCAGGAAAAAAGGTATGGTGCAATCTGCATGTTTTATCATTCCTTTGCTAAGCATAGCTGCCCTGTGAGTTTAAAAAGGGGCAAATGTGTGATGCCAACATTGTTTTTGCAAAGGCTCTTTTTGTGGGTATCTGCTGCATCAAATAACAAAAGAGTGCATGTCAACATAGAGGGCAAGTATTTTTTAACGGCTGATGGCCAGATACTGTTTGCTCATTGCTAAAATTGGTTACAGTTGCTTTCACATATATTTAGGTGATTGACAATTATGAGAGACTAAATAATTTAAGTATTGACATAACAGTGAACATAGGAATGAGTTGAGCAAATGAGGGCCCAATGAGACATGTGATGTTTGATAACCTTGGCTTACAGACTGTGTGAGGCTGTCAAACAAGATCATTGAAAGATGCCAGCTGTCAGTTCCACCTGTCACCAACATTAGTGACATCCGGTCCAACCTGTTCACCAGCCTGCTGGAGGTCCTGTGTGGTCAGCTTCCAGAAGGTAGGACTGCAGCTTCATCATGAGCTGCAAAGCAATGGCCGTTGTTGTGTTTTGAAGGATGAGACTATGCTGATTAATCCTGCTGTTGGCAGTTTTAATAGTATGGTGGTGTAACCCTACCTGCCACTGCATAGTTAAGCTTAGGTACAGCAAAAGTCAAAAGCAGTTTGGTTTAGGAAGAAGTTAGCATGTGTAAGGGCTTGTCAATGAAACCCATTGTCTTTTAAGGTCATGCAAATATGCTGTTAGTTTGGGAGACAGCACAATGGTTGCATAAGTCTAAAGCATGTGGATAGAAAGGGAATTTCACGAAAATTGTATCCACACTGTTTCACAAAATCCGCCATAGCTGGGAGAAAAAGAGAACGTGGACATCAGCTTGATACGAATTGTACCTGCGCACATATACACGTGGAACGAAGTCCGGGAGCATCATGAAATTTCGGTCAGTTTGATGCACACGGGTTTTTGTTTGGATAATTTTTTTTTGGTGCGGGACGGCTAACTTTATTTGTTCTCGGCTTGCCGCGAAATCATTGTAGCAGCGCGAGCATGCGAGGTTGTAGCGCAAGTTACCATGGCGACGGCACGCGATGCGTAAACAACTTCGGCGGGCACGCTATGTCCGCGGAGGTCAGCCGCGTCGTGCGACGGTGTAGGGACGCACGCGGCCGCCATGCCCAGATGTGTCCCGGGGTCGTGACCGTCGCGCACCGGCGCGATAGCATGTGCGAACATCAAACGCAGGCATGGTGTTAAACGTTGCCACCATTCACCGGCTTCACATTGGACCACAATCCACCGATATAATATTGGGCGTGAATAACACGCGTCCATCGAATTATTAGTGGCCGCCGTAACCGGTACGGTACCACATGGGGCAATCATAGGCCGGTGTGATGTCACACGCGACGGCCTCACACCAGCTTGATAGCACAGGTGCCACCGTACACCAGAATAAGACAACACGTGACCCGCCTTACACCGGCACGTCACGTGCGACACCTCGGCACCGTTGTCACGTTACATGTGACTACCACACACCGGTGCGACATCACACGTGATGGCTATACACGTGTATAACGTCCCACGTGAGCACCGCACGCAGGTACACCATACACCGCACCGTGCACCGGTATATGTCATACGTGACCACTATACACCGGTGTACGTCATACGTGACCACCATACACAGGTATATGTCATACGTGACCACCATACACGGGTACATGTCATACGTGACCACCATACACAGGTATATGTCATACGTGACCAATATACACCGGTATACGTCACACGTGACCACCATACACCAGTATGTGCCATACGTGACCACCGTACGCCAGTATATGTCACGCGTGACCACCATACACCGGTATATGTCATACGTGACCACCATACACCGGTATATGTCATACGTGACCACCATACACGGGTATATGTCATACGTGACCACCATACACCGGTATATGTCATACGTGACCACCATACACGGGTATATGTCATACGTGACTACCATACACGGGTACATGTCATACGTGACCACCATACACCGGTATATGTCATACGTGACCACCATACACCGGTGTACGTCGCACGTGACCACCATACACCGGTACATGCCATACGTGACCACCATACACCGTGTATATCATACGTGACCACCATACACCAGTGTTCGTCGCACGTGACCACCATACACCGGTATATGTCATACGTGACCACCATACACCGGTGTACGTCATACGTGACCACCGTACACCGGTACATGTCATACGTGACCACCATACACGGGTATATGTCATACGTGACCACCATACACGGGTATATGTCATACGTGACCACCATACACCGGTGTACGTCATACGTGACCACCGTGCACCGGTACATGCCATACGTGACCACCATACACGAGTATATGTCATACGTGACCACCGCACACCGGTGACATCACAGCCTTTTAGCTGTTCTCCAAAGATGCCAGCACCGCTGGGAAAGGCTGCATTTTAGCACGAACGGTGGTGGCTGGCTTTGCATGATGCATCGCCGTATGTTGTTAACTGTCGAGCACGTACATCCATGATTAGTGGTTAACTCAACACTCATGCGCGGGTGTTAATTTTGCTGTCGCTGTGGGGTCATCATGGAGCGTTTTTGTTTGGGCTCGGTATTTGGGACTAGCGCTGCTGAGCCGTTATCCAAGGCCACCACCAGAGACCGACGCCATGGCCACCCTTGTTGACCTGAAGTGTCGCGATAGTGGACTGGTGTTAGTGGCTGACACCACTGCGGCTTCACGCCGTGCTAGTCTGTCATTCTGTCATCGGCGGCTCCTCACCCTCGCGGCGACAGATGACTCTCGCTTTCACCTTTCACACTTCGACCTTTCATTCCACGTCATGTGCTCCTCCACGAGCTCATCCACCGCGGCAGCTCCAGCACCCCTTTCCCCCTCCCCACCGCCGCGCCGTGAGAACACGCGGGTCGGTGAATCCAGCAGGCCCTGACGACCGCGCCCCCTCCCCGTAGGCGTGCTCCGCGAGCCGGTCGGCGACGAGGAGGAGGCTGCCAACGTACAGGCCATCATCAACCACCTGGCGCTGGACCTGATTAACGTCGACCTCTCGCACATCTCGGGCGCCAACATCATCGCCGGCGATCCGCGCGCCATCTACAACCTGCTGGAGATCTTCTGCGGCCTGCACAAGTACCTCAGCTCCACGTCCGTCGGTGGGTGCCGCGGCGGCTGGCGGTCAGACCTGATAAGGGGGCGGACACACTGGCTGCGGTCCGGAATTGTATTTATGTTATGCTGAGTGCCGCGGACTATAAGCCACCCGGCTGGTGACCGGCTGGTCTGATTCTCGACGGCGTTAAAAAAGCAGGCTTGTAATCTCAGGACGCCTTGTTGCCGCCCACGTGGTTACATCGTGCGGTGAAATCTACGCGGGTTTAACACTGCATTGGTAAGATGATGCCCGCGGGCCATCCACGGGTGACGGCAAATGTGATGCCCGCCTTAACGCACTGGGTGTCGGCTGGCGCCTGCCGTCCGGCAGACAAGTGGAACCTGGAGGAGAGTCTGACGGAAACGGAGGAGGAGCTGAGCAGCGCGGGCTCCTCCTCGGAGGAGCCGCCCCCGGACGGGCAGGACGCGGTGCCAGCCGACGACGCCGCCCCGGTGAGCCCGCCCGCCGCCGAGAGCTGGGCGATGAGGGGCCCAGCGACGGGAACCTAGAGTGGGACGGGGTGGTGTTCCCGTTTTGGGGAGGGGTGAATGGAGGCAAGGTGTGTTTTTTGCTCTTTGTACGGACAACCTAGTGGATTTGAGCCCTCATTTTAAAGACTTCCGTGTGAATCAACGCCTGGTAGCATGTTTGCTACGACTGGCAGCGGATGTCCTGTGCGCTGTCGGGTGCCCACACCCTGCTGTCTATGTACGGGACGGCCGGCCGTGTCGCCGCAGGAGGCCGGCGCCGACGCGGCGCCAGCGGCCGCAGAGGGCGACGCCGCCGCCGCCGCCGCCGAGGCCGCTCCGTCCACGCCCGAGGCCGACCAGCCGGCCAAAACGCCGTGAGTAACGCGATGTCCACAGTCCGCGCCGGCCGGGCGGGTCGGCGGCGGCCGCCACTGAGTGGCGACCGTCTCGGGGTGGGCTCTCGGGACTCGGGCGCGTCGGGGAGGCGCGATTTCCCGAGGGGTCGTGGGTCGGTTCGTGATCTGACCGACGTGATTTCCCGGGGGTGTTCGGAGTCGTTCCACAGCGGTGCTCGTGCCTTGACTGTGTCCTGTGACTGGTGGTGTTTATCGTTGTGGCACCAGATTTCATCGGACTACGCGTCCCCTCGTTCCCTTCTCATATCCCACGGAGTCTTACGCATTTTCCGGGGGTGCCATTGGATCTTACACCTGCAGGCGTCAACGCACGTCCCATCAGACCTCCCATCTGGTCTGTAGGTCTTCTGCAGGTGCCATTACGTCCCACATCCCTTCCATAGGTCGAGCAAAGCATCGGTTTCGGTGCGCTCCTCGTCCACCGTCGGGGCTCGTGCCACCGGTAGCAGCTCGTCCGCTGGCGGGGCTCGTGCCACTGGCAGCGGCTCGTCCACTGGCGGGGCTCGTGCCACCGGCAGCGGCTCGTCCACCGGCGGGGCTCGTCCCACCGGCAGCGGCTCGTCCACTGGCGGGGCACGTCCCACCGGCAGCGGCTCGTCCACTGGTGGGGCCCGTCCCACCGGCAGCGCCTCGTCCACTGGCGGGGCTCGTCCCAGCGGCAGCGCCTCGTCCACCAGCGGGGCTCGTCCCACCGGCAGTGGCTCGTCCGCCGGTGGAGCTCGTCCCACCGGCGGCGGCTCGTCCACTGGCGGGGCTCGTCCCACCGGCAGCGGCTCGTCCACTGGCGGGGCTCGTCCCACCGGCAGCGGCTCGTCGGCTCGCCGGTCGGTCTCGAGCGCGGCCGGCACGCCGCCGCGCTCGGCCAGTCGGTCCGGGTCGGGCGCGCTGCCGCCGTCTGGCTCCCCCAGCTCCCGCGGCTCCCGCGGCTCGGTGGCCGGCCCGGCCGCGGGCTCCCGCGGCTCGGCGACGGGCAGCCCGACGCGCGGCCGCTCGGGCGAGCTGGCGCCGACCTCGTCCGCCTCCGTGGCGGCCGCCTCGTCGGCGTCCGGCTCGGGCGGCATGCCCGGCACGTGCACGGCGAGCCTGGCCAGCGCCAGCGCCACCACCAGCGCCAGCGCCACCACCAGCGGCAGTGCCGGGGTCAGCTGTGAGTGTCGACTGATACTGCCTGCTGTGGATCCCAGGTGTCAGCGGCGCGCGGTGTGCGGCGGCAGCGGAGGGGGAGGGAGAGGGGTGGGGGTGGAAGAGGGTTGTGTGCGTCGGTTGCGGTCCGTTAAGGTTAGTGGCTGTTGGCTGGGCGACGGCGCCCACAATGATACGACCAACGTTCAGCGCGGCTGCTGGGGAAGCGCTCACCACCCCACACTACACCGTACTCACCTTAGACCTCACCACTGCGTGCCCGCACCACCGCCATCCAACACCCTGCGCTTCGGCATTGTACGTCCCCCTCGTGCCGCCATGCGCCCCTTACACCGTCTGAACATGCGCCCCTTCGCCATCTGTCCCTGCACCGTGGCTCACCTGTGCCGTCCACTAGCGCTCTATGCCATACCATGCCGTACCGTGCCGTGCCGTGCCGTGCCGTGCCGTGTCCCCGCTGGTCGGCTGACACCGTGCCATCGGCTGTCCCACCGCAGTCCCGGAGTCCGACTTCTCGTTGGAGCAGGAGCTGCCGCTGTCGCCGCCCCGCTCCGGCGTGGTGGCCGCCGCCGGTACCGCCTGGGGCGAGAAGGCGGCCCCGGCCAGCAAGACGGCCGCGGCGGCGCCGGTCAAGGAGGAGCCGGACCCGGTGGACCAGGAGTCTGCCCTGGTGGACCCGGGAATGTCTCCAGAAGACCAGGAGAGCTCACTGACAGAGGTGGAGGGACAGGAGGAGACGGAGCAGGAGGAGACGGAGCGGGAGGAGACGGAGCAGGAGGACACGGAGCAGGAGGAGGCGGAGCAGGAGTCAGGAGAGCAGGTCTCGGGAGAGCAGGAGTCGGCAGAGCAGGCTTCAGGAGAGCAGGAGTCAGGAGACCAGGAGTCGGGGGAGCAGGAGTCCGGCGCCGCTGACGACGAGACGACGGAGGGCGGCCCGTCCTCGGGGTCGACCAGCCGGGAGTCGCCGGCTGCCGAGGACGACGAGCCGAGGATGCCCCGCGGCTCGTTCGTGCCGCGACACTTCGATTTCGTCGAGGACACGGAGGTGAGATGCCGCTGGCGGCAGCCGTACGCGCGGAGAGGCAGGGCCGACTCAGACCGGGACCGGGAGTTGCGAGAAATGCAGCTTCCCGACACTTTGTGGCTACGGACCCGCCCAAGGTTCATGGGTTTCAAGCCCTACGTATTGGGTTTTGTTAGGGTCGCTGTGCGACGTGGATGCTGTTTTAGTTGTGTGCGGAAAACAAACAGTGTCCTGGGAATTGCGTCCGAGTTAGGATCGGTGGCGCGGAAGGCCGCGACGCCCTGCGTTCTGTATGCTTTTGGGCTTTTGTGTACAGGCGAACTGGAGTGTCTGTGCAGTCTTATATATTTGATATTTGAAGGTCGAATAAGCGTCGATGACTATCAAGATTGGTTACAAGAAATCTTGGTGTCGCAGCTTGCGTGTTCACATCGTTCGTTTTCACTCCTTGTTATCGGACAAGTAGCACCAAGCACGGACACCGCTTTTGAAGCACCGATGTGTCGCCAACCACACCTGTGGATCTTTGTCCTTGTAAAATCCGCTTATGTCGTACCGGGCTCTCGGGGTCGATGGCTCTGACGTAATGGTGACGTCATTGTGACGTCAGGCGCGGCCGGCGGCGGACGATCGGGCGGGCGGTGACGAGTACCAAAACGTGGCCTTTGACGCCGACGATGACTCGCTGTGAGGTGGGTCCCTCTGCCGTCCTCGCAGCGCAGCAGCACTCTCGGTCATCGCCATCACTCATAACCCCTTCGTCGTCCGCCCCCGCGCCCGCCGCACGGGCTGTTTGGGAGGTGGGTCGGTCCGGGGGCCAGCGACGAATCAGCCAAACAACGCGGCCGGTTTACTTTGCTAGGGTGATTCAGGTGGCCGCCGTCGAATTGTGTAGCGCGGCAATCGGTCTGCCGCGTCTTGGACGCGTGAGGGGTGAATGGCGTAGCGTATGGGCGTGAGACTGGCGGCGCCGTGGCGTGTGAGCGTGAGACTGGCGGCGCCGTGGCGTGTGAGCGTGAGACTGGCGGCGCCGTGGCGTGCCGGCGTCCGATGACGCGTGTGCCGGCCGGCCCGCCAGACGTCGGCGGACGAGGGCACCAGCAGCGTGGAGGCCACCGAGGCCGAGGAGCCGGCGCCGCCCGCCGGCGACATCAGCCGCAAGCTCAGCCAGGAGATGCAGCAGATGCGCGAGACCAAGCCTGAGTCCGAGGAGGTAGGCCCGCCACCCGGCCTGGTGTCGGCAGCCGCCCCACCCCGCCCCTCCCCCGGTTGTCGGATGGCCCGACCGACCGCCGCCGCTGCCGTCCGGCTGGCATCTGTGGTCGCTGGTGATTTTGCAGTCACATGCATGTGTAGATAACTCGTCGCCAGATTTAGTGTGTCGGTGGTGGGCTTAAAGTATCGTCGAAGCAAGTATGGTTGTCTTAGGAAAGTCGAGTACTAGCATAAAGCATAGCTTTCATTTCGCCGACGATGTTAATTGTATTGTACGCCGCTGGTGCTCCGGTGTGTGAGGTATATCCGCTTCAGTTGTTAGTGAGCATCGTCCGTGACGAACTATGTTTTTCAGGTGAGCAAGCCTGTCGAGAAGCCCAAGCCACCACCGCCAGCCGCGGTAAGATCTCTCAGCACTGCTAGTTAGCTGTTAGTGTCGGCGCGATCGCCGCCGGTGGCGATGCTCTGGCGATCCGTAGACAAGTTACTGGGACCAGCGACCCATTCTAGACTTAACAGACAACTTATTTTGGTCCATATCAGTGGATGTTTAGCAGATAGATTCTTCGTCTCATACGTATATACCCTGATCACGTCAAGTTTGTCTTTTATTATCACTTTGTCTCTGTTCTCTCGATACAATCTTCTCTTCACTAGCTTAAGTTTTTTTTACAGCCCCTCGCCTCGTCATGTTGCTTGTACCGCCTCAGCCCGCAGCGTATCTGCTCGTCCGTTCCCTCGCCTAGCTGTATGCCCACCATGTGGGAGAGAAAGCAGAAGGGGAGGCGATTCCATCATCGGTCGCATCACTGCCCCGTGTTTAGGCGCGCGCTTCCGTGGTCCTCCCTTGCCGGCTCCCCGGCTGCCCGGCTCATACTGGCCCGCCGCTCCACCTCCCCGTGCCCCGCGGCCGCCATTTGCCGGCTGTGCCGGTCTGTCTGTGTGGTGCGGTCCCCCGGTGGTGTCGGCACCGGCTGGTGCGACCGGGTACCGATCCACGTGCCTTGGTCGCGGACCCGCGTGCCCCGGTCACTGACCACGTGCCCCGGTCACGGACCACATGCCTTGGTCATCGACCCACGTGCCCTGGTCATCGACCCCGTGCCCCTGTCACCGACCCCGTGCCCCTGTCACCGACCACATGTCCCGGTCACCGATTACGTGCCCTGGTCATCGACTACGTGCCCTGGTCATCTACCATGTGCCACAGTCACTGACCCACGTGTCATGGTCACCGCCACGTGCCACGGTTACGTGTCCCGGTCACCACTCCGTCCGCCATCACGGCTCGGCGCGTCCGACAGCCGTCGGAGCCGACCAGCTCCGCGCCGGAGCCGACCACCACCACAGACACGACGGGCCGGCGGCGGCGGCGCGGCCCCTGCGCCCGGCTGTGGGCCGACTCGCGGCCGCGCCGCAGCGCGCCCTGCCAGGCGGCGGCCGAGGCGCGCGACCGCCGGCGCCGCTCCAGCGACCGCAGCTCGGCCAGCGACCCGGGCGTCAACCGGCGCCCGCTCTGCCGCCGCCTGCTGACCAGGAACATCGAGACCATCGCCGAGGTCAGTGGCCAGAGTTCGAGGTCAGAGGTCAGAGGTCAAAGCCATCGTGGAGAAGGGGGGGGGGGACGGAACAGGCTGCGTGGATGACCTGGGAGTAGAGAGATGGCTGCACGGGGATGGACTTGGAGCCGAGCGTTGGCGGCTGGTGTAAACGGACAGTGGAGTAGATACAAGTGGCTGCTGCAGGGCGGCGGCACACACGAATCACTGGCGTCGCTCAAAGCGAGGTCAGGCCCCGCGAGCCGAAGTCCGGGATCTGTCGCGTCGCGCCCGTCCCCCACGTGACGTTCGCCTCGTGCCCTGAGGTCCGTGAGCGTCGGTTCCAGCTCTCCGCTATCCGCGAGTGCTCGTCTCGCCGCCGCCGTCTCGGCAGATGTGCGAGTTACTTCTGTCTGCCCGCCTGACGTCGGCTGCGTGCCGGCAGATACACGAGTCTGGCGGCGAGCGGGCGGTGACGCGCACCACCCGGGAGCAGGCCGGGGAGGAGCTCTGCAAGGAGACGGTGCAGCGCGAGGTGCGCAGGAAGGTGCGCAGCGCGCCCCAGCCCAGCCGCCGCAGTGAGTGTGAGGTGTGGCGGTCCGGCCTCTGCCGCCGTCGCCGCCGACGCCGGGCCCGGCGGCGGCGGCGCGGTCGAGGCGCGTGGTGCCCGTGTAAATATGTCATGGTGTGTCGTTATAGAAATGGTGATAGTGACCTTGGATGGGATCGCGCATGTGATGGGTAAGCGTGGGGACATAGGTGGTTGTAGAGAAGTGTTGTGCAGGTCGACTATGTCGATGAAACGAACGCAGGCCGTATTACTGCTGACTGTTTTGTTATTGCTTGCGCTGTTTCAGTGTCGTGCAGCGGAGGCTGGACGCTTCAGGGGCTGAATGTGTGCTCTGTGTTTCAGTGGCTGGCGTGTTTCAGTGGCTGGCTGTGTGTCCTCTGTCGGTATCCGGGCGTGTGTCCGGGTTCAACAGCCTTGTCTGCCGATGTGCCCGGACGTGTGTTCAGCAGCCATGTCCGTTGGTGTGTCCGGGCGCGTGTCCTGGTCCAGCAGCCACGCCCGTTCCCCTGTTTCAGTGTCGTACAGCAAGGCTTCGTCTCGCCGCTCGGTGTGCAGTGACGGCGTGCTGCAGTGGCTCGAGTCCCAGGTAGACGACACCCAAGTCCAGGTGCAGGGGCAAGGTGAGAGGCTGCAGCCGCCCTCGGCTGCCGGCCGGTGCGCCTGCTGGCGCCGCCTGGCGGCGAAATAGGTCGGATGTTGTGTCTCATATGCTGAAGGGTGACGCTTGGTGTTGATGTGTTCCCAATGTTCATCATGGAAACGTCACTGAAAGTATATTTATTCTAAGGTGCTGTCAGAGGCGGCGTGCTACTAACATGCGGTTCGTTGTCAGCCCTGCTGACAGACTGACACTGTCAGCCGATACGAGCCGTACCCACCCTGCTGGCAGAGGCGGACGTGTTCGAGTTTCTGCGCCGCGAGTTCCCGTACGTGCACGTTTCGGAGGAGACCAAGCGGAAGCTGCTGACGGAGTACCGCCGCCAGATGAAGTACATCATGAGCATGGTGGAGCCCATGGAGACGAGGAAGTACAAGATCCGGGTGAGCTCGCCAACTGCTCTATCCTGTCCTGGGAACCTGTCGGCTCAGTGGGGCGATCTAGTAGGCCTTGGGATGGTGGGAACAGAGTGGGACTCGCGGAAGCACGGTGAAGAAGTCCGGTTTCCGGTCGGTGCTGGCCCGAACTTGAACCATAGAGCTCAACAACATCCAGTCTCATTTGTCCGCGTTATCTGTGGCAGTTCAGGGTTTCCAGACGTGTAATTGCCTCCGGCAACGCGGCACCGGCTCAAGCTGTCGACCGCCGGCGTCTGCCCTGTCTGTGCCAGACATCGAGACGAGCATCGGACTGCGCCTGGTCTGTCCTGCCGCCAGGGGTGCGGGCCAGCTGGGCCGAATGGGGGCCGAGCATTCACCTCTCATGCGATCAGCCGTCAATAACGGCATTGGATGCATCTGGCACCCTGCAGAACAATTCCTAAGCGATTCGGCCGTACCCTGACCTGACCTGACCTGACTTGGCCCGGCCGGTCCTGGCCGACCGGGGGTCTTACATCGTGAGATGTCACCAAAGCTGACCCGTCTTGCGGTGTGTCTGTCTGACGTGTGCTGATATACCCCTGACCTTTAGTGGCCCCGCCGGACCTGTGTCAGGCGAGTTTGACCTGGCCTGGGCTAGCCCTTCCCGTATGTTCCGTGTGGATGGGCATCATTGATCTTTTGCCTCTGATGTGCATGAACATTGCGACCTTTTTACCATCGCTTTTAATTTTTAACGCTGGACACTTTATTTTCGTTTGGTGTCATGGACCGCCATATCCTGATCGTGTATCCCGTCCTGTTCCGCTCTTGTCTTTCCCCGTCTCGCCCTGGCCCGGTCCTGTCCTGACCTGACCTGTCCTGTCCTGTCCTGTCCTGTCCTGTCCTGTCCTGTCCTGTCCTGTCCTGTCCTGTCCTGTCCTGTCCTGTCCTGTCCTGACCTGACCTGACCTGACCTGACCGGGCCGGACCTGGTTTGACCTGTCCTGTCCTGCCCTGTCCTGACCTGACCCAACCTAACCTAACCTAACCTAATCTAACCTAACCCAACCTAACCCAACCTAACCCAACCTAACCTAACCTAACCTATCCTAACTTATCCTAACCTAACCTGACCTGACCTGGCTTGACCTGTCCTGTCCTGTTACCGGCTGCAGCGGCAGGACGTGCTGCGGCGGCAGGCGCTGCTGACTGACATCATGCACCAGCATAAGACGCACGAGAGGCGCTTCCGGAAGATCTGCGACGACAGGCGGCGCGAGATCCGCGAGCGGTGAGCGGCGGGGGCGGCGCCGGACCCGGCGCGGTGCGTTTCTCCGGTGCAGGGCCGACGGCGCGGCCGGCGGTGAGGCCGGGCGCCAGACGAGATGTAGGGGGAGGGGGGAGGGGGAGGGGGAGAGGCCGACGGTGCGCCCAGCACAGGCTCGTACGGCCCCGCGCGGCAGGCTCTACCGCTCACGCCAGCTGGCGGGGCCTGCTGTGACCGGCACCGCCGCCCGTCCGTGCTGCCGTGGCCGGCCGGCCGCCGCCCGCTGCCGCCGTATGACTGCCGTCCTGACCGACAGGAATAAACCGCGTGACGATAAGATCTCGTGCCTGCGCGCCCAGAAGTACGTCGACTCGTTCAAGCAGCAGTTCCAGTCTCGGATGGCGCTCAACAAGAGCAGGGAGGAGCTGGTGAGGGCCCGGTCCGCTAGTGCGTTCGTCGGCACACTTGGCGGCAAATGGCGGACCGAATTGAGCGCGCCTTAAGATAACATTTTTGCTGGTGATGTGCTATTCTGAGTGGTCTGCACTTACTCGGCAGTCGCCGGTTCTTTTTTTTTTATCCCGGCTGCCCGCGGCTGCTTCTGGGGTCCGTTTCGCCCCACCCCCAGATGAGGCGCCGCGTGACGTTTCGCCGTCGATGGGTCTGAAAACCCCATATCGTCATCGTCCCCAGACCATTACGACTATTGGGGTTTCGGTCTTCTCCCGTGTTCTCCAGCTAATGCGATGGGTTTCACCCTGGTGTGGTGATTCACATTGGTTCGTTTATTCAGTTCCGTTACGTTCGTATTTTGCAGTCACAGATCATTGTCGGGATTTAAATTACCGCCTCCGTTTATGAGCATTGCTGTTGAAGATTGTGTAGGTTGAAGCCGTGTCCGCTGGTGACAATTATGCAGCCAATTTGTGTAAAACTAAGAAAGAAACTGGTCTAACGGGCCCGTATATATATATATATATATATATATATATATATATATATATGCATTTGTATGCATTTGTTCGAGATTACAATGTACTGTATTGCTCTATAGTGATGCCTAGCAGCGCCCCCGAGACTGACTGCCTGATCGTCTGCCGCCAGCTGCTGAAGGCCGTGTTCGAGGAGATGCTGGAGATCCAGCGGCGCCGGCTGCGCACGGTCCGCAGCCTCGAAAAGCGCGCCATCAAGGAGTTCTACGGCGAGGACGGCTACACGAGCCAGCTGAACCGCGTGCACCAGTTCTACGAGGCCAACTTCCGGGACCTGTCGCAGCTGCTGGCGCGCGAGAAGACCGAACTGCAGATCTCGGAGAAGGAGCAGACCAAGCTGGCGGACAGGATCCGCCGCGAGTTCCGCGACTACATGGAGTCGGACGTGCGCAGCCTCAACGACAAGATCGTCAACAGTTGGCAGCCGCAGTACAGGTCGGTCAGCGGCTGGTGGCGGGGGGGGGGGGGGAGAACTGGCTCGGTTTGCTCCGGTGCTGCAGTGACGTTGTCGCTGGTCCCGTCTGCTTCTTGGCTGTTTTTTCCACGCGAGATGGGATCGCTGGGGGCCGCTGGCTTCTGCCGGCGCTGTCGTCGCTGCGTGGAGGGTTGTTGACGTGACCGTGTGCGTCAGCTGAGCACGTCAATAGTCGGCACCGTGCGCCCTGCCCCTGTGGACTGCTGGGCCATGGACAGTCTGTGTGAGTGGCCACACTGCTGGACAGCCTGGGCGAGCCCGTCACAGTATATCCTGTGACGATGTGCTGTGACGAACGGGCTATCACAGTGTATCCTGTCTGTCGATCCGGGAGCCGTGTTCACTGTGCCCGCTGTGCGCCTGATCACGTGGTCGGGACCGTGAGCCGTCGGGTGTTCGAGGCGTGGGGCGGATGCTTGGGAGGGCTGAGTTCAGTTCTCGCCTCACGAGACCTCGCTGACCGAAGCCGGTCTGCGCCATGGTGTTCCGACGGTGGTGACGGTGGCTTCGCCTGCTGATAAACAGCCCGGCAGCCGTCACAAAGGCGGCGCGCTCGTGCCGCAGGGAGCTGGACGCTGACCGCATACGGAGTGACCTGTACCAGGCCAACTGGAGGTTCTGCGTCACGTAGCGGCGCCGGCGGCCGTCCATCTGTCCGTCCGTCCCGTCCCGTCCCGTCTCGGTCTGCGCTGCTCCGCTTCGTGCCCGCGTCTGTGCGAGCTGCCGCCGGCCACCGCCGCGTCTCTCCGCCCGTCTGTGGCGCCGGGGGCGGCGTCGCGTCGCCAAATCAGTGCGAGCGCGCGTCGGCTCCGCGTTCGCCCCGAGGTCAGGTCCCTGTCGCGGCGTCCGTGTGGGGTTTGCCGCCGTGTGCCGTGCGTGGTGGTCCGTGTGTGGTCCGCCGTGATGCCCCACGCCCCGGCGGCGGGCCGTGGCGTGGTCCGCCGGCTCTGGGTGGTCTGGTCTGTGGCGGCCGGCGGTCCGCGCCGGTCTCCGCGGCTGGTCTGCTGGTCTGCGTGGCTGGTCTGCTGGTCGGGCTGGTCTGCGTGGCATCCGGGGCGGACCGCCCGCGGCGCCCCCGCGGCAGTCCCGCCCTGGTGCTCGCCCATCTCTGCCACCTGAGCCGCTGATGGTTCGTCAGCACCAGCGTGGACGGGTCTGTTTTCCAGCGGAAGGGATGGGGTCCTCCGCTCCTGGTCTCGACGTAAAGGTCCCGTGCAAAATCTCTGGCCGAGTGTTGTTGTCTGAATTGCGGCGACTGCTGCATCCGTGGTGCTAAATATTACTGTGATATTACGTTTTATGACCATGGTTTTTTCTTAACTTCTGGTAGTTACGAAGTATGATGGGAGCGTAAGCACCGAAAGGTACTTTTGCGGGATACGTGAGAGATTTAGCGATGCAGAGCTGGCTTATCTTGAACGCGTATGGGGACGGAGAAGTGGCGCGGTGTGAGTGCAGCCACATTTTCCCCAGAGTCCGGACGGTCGAGGTCGAGGCACGCTGTTCGCGTCGGTACATGGATAGACCCGTCAGGTCCGCGTGATTATTTTATTTGTCCGTTGGCGGCTATTGACAACTTTTCCCATGCAGTGCATCACGTCGTAATGGTGAAGCTATTTAAAAACCGGCGGTACACGAGCAATGCTACGATCTATCACAGAATCGTTGGCCGCGAGCGTGGAAGGTCACGTGCGAAGGCGCCTCGGATTCGACAAATCACCGGGCGTTCTCCAGTCCGCTCGGTGCGCACGCGTCGCTCACACCGCTAGTAAGCCAGGGGGTAGCGTTACACGCACCGGTACGGCCAACGCCTTTGTGCGTGTTGCCTTTCCGAACGGGGTCTTCCAGTGGGGCGTTGATCGCTCGCGTGTAGCTTACGCGCACCGCGGCACCCTGGAGCGATGTTGATTGGCTGCTGTTGCGTGAGCAACGGCCCATAAAGAACATGGCGATGGCCAGGACGTGGCCAAGTCGGGACGCGCGCGCACGCACATACACTAAAACAGTTGGCACCAGTCTGGGTACATTGATAAGAAAGTCGAATGCCTCGACCACTATGCCCTAACGTTTGTGGCCCCGCGGGGCAGACAATGCCCTCGCGCTCGTCGGCGCCGCGCTAACAAATAACACGACCGCGTATGGGTCGTCCGGTGCTGTCGACCAGGCCGGTCTCAACTGTTCGCCGAGGCGGCCCAGAGATGGCAGCACTAGCGCCGCCAGTCGGAAGCCGGCTCTAGAACAGGCCACGCGCCCGGCGGTACCCGTTCATCTCCCGGTATCCGCCGGTGGCGCGGAGGTGTGGCCTGCCGGCAGCCACGCCCGGCCTGAACCTGTACACCTGCTTCTCCCCCTGGGCGAAGAACCAGTCCAGGTCGTCCTCCGAGAGGACGCGCACGTCCTCGGGGCTGGGCGGCGCGCGCAGACTGAGCAGCGTCGTGGCGTCCTTGGCGCAGGACTGAGCCTGCGCGGCCGGCGCGCACCGCTCGCGCTCCGGACTGTACACGTAGCGCTCCGGGCAGCGGTACAGCAGCGCTGTGGAACGAGGTACCGGTCAGGAGTGGGCGGTTGTCAGCAGCGCTGCGTAACGAGGCACTGGTCAGGTGTGGACGGTTATCAGCGTTACAGCAGCGCTGCGTAACGAGGCACTGGTCAGGTGTGGACGGTTATCAGCGTTATCAGCAGCGCTGCGTAACGAGGTACTGGTCAGGTGTGGACGGTTATCAGCGGTACAGCAGCGCTGTGGAACGAGGTACTGGTCAGGTGTGGGCGGTTATCAGCAGCGCTGCATGACGAGGTACTAGTCAGGCTTGGACGGTTATCGGCCGAGCAAACGTGCTTACGCGTAGCGCATCTCGGCTTAATGGTTATCAGTGATAAAGCAACGCTGCAGAAGTGGGGTCATTTAGGGGCGTGGAGTTAAAAGCACAAACAGCGGCACGGTGTACAAAAACAGAAGTTAACAGAGTTTGTAACAATCGGCTGGCGAAGTGGGACGCGGGATGGGGTCTGCGCGTTACTACTGCTACATAAGGGCTATAGAGTGGCAACGATGCTGGGGTTACATCGCTGACGGCTCAGTTGAACTTTATTCGCTGTCATGGGCTGCGCCCCAACACAGCGGGGGTACGTTGAGGTCCGATGACCGCCAGGGATACAAGGGACGCGTCAGGACAGGTGTGTTAGACCCGGCTCTTGTGATAATGAAGCTGACGCGTTTTGGTTAACGCGTGCAAGCGCTTTGGTGTCGAAACAACGTACGTAACGACGCATCCCGGCCTGTGCGGGCGGCGGTGGTATAGTGGTTAGGCCGGTTGGCTCTGAACCCGTTGGTTCTGGGAGTCCCTCCGACGCCACTGCCATGTCATATCCCACATGGTGCCTTATAGAAGCGTCCCGTCTCGAAATGGCCCTGGCAGTTGGTGATAGGCATTATTGTAATAGGTATCGGGACGATGTTCATGTGCTTATCGCCACTTCCTCTTACCTGCCGCGCCGGTTTACACCGGCTGCTTCTGCGCACGGGTGCTAACTGCGCCGACCTGTGCACCAGGCCAATGTACGGCACGCACCCGCTCCGCACCCCCCCCCCCCTTCCTGCCCGCCCCCCCCCCCCTCGCTTGTCCGCCGCACTCACTGGTCAGTTCGCCGGAGTCGAGGAAGACGCAGCGGTAGAAGTGGATGCAGTCGGCCTCGAACTCGTAGAATCCGGGAGCTTGGCACTGGAACTGCTCGCCCACCGTTACCTGGGAAAAATGCGTCGAAGCCGGTCATTTGAAGCGGCGAACACCGCCCATGCGAGCTGCACAGCCATGCAGCAGCCAAATGAGTGTTGAAAGGCACGGAAGCACGGGTGCTATTTCAGACGCGCTTGAGAAAATCCCACGTGCGGCGCGCGGTGATGCGTTACGTCCCGCGCCCAGCTGACGGGTCTGATTAGGCCTAGTTTGCGTCGTTATTTAAGTTTATGGGCAATTACGTAGGCGTCGTGGTGGGGAAACTCATGCAGTTGATATAGAGATGGTAGGGGAGCCTCATTCCACCATGCGATGTAAGAATGCCCACCAAGCCAGGCGAGACCGGACGTTAGGTATGCCGTTGTACACGAGGCCGGACAGTGCCTACTGAACCAGGCAAGACCGGCCTTTAGGTATGCCGTATGTACACGAGACCGGACAGTGTCTACTGAACCAGGCGAGACAGGACTTTACGTATACAGTGTGTACACGAGGCCGGACAGCGCCTACTGAACTAGGCGGGACCGGACTTTAGGTATACCGTGTCTACACGAGGCCGGACGATGCCTGCCAAGCTAGGCGAGACCGGACTTAAGGTATGCTGTGTGTACACACACACACAAATCGAATGGATATAGCAGCACCTGAATCACTACTTGCTGGATATCGTAAATGCGCCAGCTGAGCTAAGTCGGGTAGCGAATTCACTCCACATTGTCGCAACATTCGATTTCTTGGCTTAATTCGCGACCTCTAGGTACATTGGCTGGCAATGTGCCGCCAGCCGTGCAACGGAAACTGTATTGTGTAAAGAAGAGGTGCCCATTTTGATACCTCTCTTAATCACTGTAATTTTTATGATGGATTTTGCATAGCTATTTCTACATTTACTGAGTCAAATACCTTGTATGTATCTAAGGCACCCCGAAATGTGTTAAGGCATTCGTGCCGATGGAAACGGGTAAAGAGAACCCACGGTAGGGAAGCGCATCGCGCACCCACTGTGTTTTAAAGGTACGAAAGCAAAAACGAAATGGGAGGAGAGGCTAGCCTAGTACCAGTGCAGCATCTGGTCGATTTTCGCCGAGTCTTGTCACGAATTTGTGCCACATCGTCACATTTTCGCATTTCGCCCCAGGTTTGGTGATGTTGATAAGCGATGTCAACATCCGTGTCAGATGTTGGCAGCCTCTTTGCCTTTGGAGAAATAGCAGTCCAACGTCTGTCCATGACCGGATGTGGACGTCAGGGAGCAGGGTATGGGTACCACCACCTACCACTTGGTCACCGGAGCCGCTGATTACTTCTGTGTCATCGCTCTCAACCGTCATCCCAGATGGCAGCCCGCTGCCGTCGCCGATAGATGGCACCAGCGGCGTTCCCAGGGCCGCGCCGTCTCTGCACGTTTCGCCGTCGCCTGTTGGTGAGATCGATGCACAGGTAAGGGATGGCAGAAGGCGAGCGGCATTCGGGCCAGGGCAAATCCGACTCACTGCCCCTGTGGCGGTAAGAAAATGAAGGACAGCTTACGGGAATACGGTCACAATCGAGAACACTTATCAAAAGCCGTGTTAGTAGTTTGCACACCAACGATGCTTTAAACGCGGAACAACGTGGAGGGATGAGGCCACATGCCTTACAACTTCACTTTTCTGTGAGAATCGCTCGAGAGCAGCCTAGGTTCCGCAGAGCAATAACAATCCCTTAACTTGAAGTCTGATCATTCCAGTGGCCCTGATCATATACCGATCATACACCCATAAAGATATTGTATATAGCGGATAGTTTGTTCGGCTCACCTCTCGGCTGGCACAGCTGCAGCTGCTCGCTGTAGACAAAGCCTGGCGCGCAGGAGGCCACGAGGAACGTCCAGAACTTGCCGTTCCACACGCACTGGTAGAATTGATTGCAGAAAATGGGGTGCCGTAGATAGCCTTCTCGCCCGCATATCAGACCAAACTCAGTGTGTGAAGACGAAGAGCCTCCCGATCCTCCAGAGCCTCCTGGTCCACCAGAGCCCCATGATCCGCCAGAGCCTCCTGACCCGCCGGAGCCTCCCGACCCACTAGAACCTCCTGATCCACCAGAGCCCCATGATCCGCCAGAACCTCCTGATCCTCCAGAGCCTTCTGATCCACCAGAGCCTCCTGATCCACCAGAGCCCCATGATCCGCCAGAGCCTCCTGACCCGCTGGAGCCTCCCGATCCACTAGAGCCTCCTGATCCACCAGAGCCCCATGATCCTCCCGAGCCTCCTGACCCGCCAGAGCCTCCCGATCCACTAGAGCCTTCTGATCCACCAGAGCCCCATGATCCGCCAGAACCTCCTGATCCTGCAGAGCCCCCTGATCCACCAGAGCCCCATGATCCGCCAGAGCCTCCTGACCCACTAGAGCCTCCTGATCCACCGGAGCCTCCTGATCCTCCAGAGCCTCCTGATCCTCCAGAGCCTCCTGATTCTCCAGAACCTTCTGATCCTCCAGAGCCTCCTGATCCACTAGAGCCCCATGATCCGCCAGAGCTTCCTGACCCTCCAGAGACTTCCGACCCGCCAGAGCCTCCCGATCCACCAGAGCCCCATGATCCGCCAGAGCCTCCCGACCCACTAGATCCTCCTGATCCACCGGAGCCCCATGATCCGCTAGAGCCTCCTGACCCACCGGAGCCTTCCGACCCACTAGATCCTCCTGATCCACCAGAGCCCCATGATCCTCCAGAGCCTCCTGTCCCGCCAGATCCTCCCGACCCATTAGAACCTCCTGATCCGCCAGAGCCCCATGAACCACCAGATCCTCCCTGGGATCCAGAACTTCCTGATCCGCCAGATCCTCCCTCAGAGCCTGATCCTCCTGATCCACCAGCACCTCCCTGGGAACCAGAGCTTCCTGACCCACCGGATCCTCCTTCAGAGCCGGAGCCCTCTGACCCACCAGATCCCCCCATAGAATCTATGTTTCCTGATCCGCCAGAGCCTCCTAATCCACCAGAGCCCCCTGACCCACCAGTGCCTCCGGATCCTCCTTCAGAGCCAGAGCCCCCTGATCCCCCAGATCCTCCCTCAGAACTGGACCCGCCCTCGGAACCCGAGCCTCCCTGAGAACTAGAACCTCCCTGGGACCCAGAACCTCCCGCTCCACCTGATCCCCAAGATCCTCCTTCCGAGCCGGAGCCTCCAGATCCTTCAGATCCTCCTCCAGAACCAGCTCCCCCCTCAGCGCCGCTTCCCCCTGATCCACCAGATGCACCCTCAGAACCAGAGCTTCCTGATCCACCAGAGCCCCCTTCCGAACCAGATCCACCGGATCCTTGTGACCCACCAGTACCTCCCGACCCACTCGAGCCACCAACGCTTGATCCTTCAGTCCCACTTGAACCACTGGAACCACCAGATCCACTTGATCCTCCCGATACACCTGATTCCCAAGAGCCACCTGATGCGCTGGAGCCACCAGATTCATTTGATCCACCCGATCCACTAATACCACCTGATCCACTTGATCCCCCAGAGCCACCAGATTCGCCGGAGCCACCAGATTCGCTAGAACCACCAGATTCGCTCGATCCACCAGCACCACCTGATTCACTCGATCCACCAGAGCCACCAGATCCGCCGGAGCCGCTAGATCCACTGGAACCACCTGCTCCACTTGATCCACCCGATCCACCAGCACCACCTGATCCATTTGATCCAGCGGAACCACCAGAACCACCAGAACCGCCTGATCCACTTGATCCGCCTAATCCACCTGATCCACCGGATCCACCTGACCCGCTTGATCCGCCTGATCCACCGGAGCCACTTGATCCACCAGATCCACCGGAACCCCAAGATCCACCTGATCCGCCAGAGCCACTGGAGCCGCCTGATCCACTTGATCCACCGGATCCACCGGATCCACCTGAACCACCTGAACCACCAGATCCGGCAGAGCCACCCGATCCACTAGATCCACCTGATCCACTTGAGCCACTTGATCCACCAGATCCACCGGAACCCCAAGATCCACCTGATCCGCCAGAGCCGCCGGAGCCGCCTGATCCACTTGATCCACCGGATCCACCTGAACCACCTGATCCAGCGGATCCGGTAGAGCCACCAGACCCACCAGATCCACCTGGTCCACTTGAGCCACTTGATCCACCAGATCCGCCGGAACCCCAAGATCCACCTGATCCGCCAGAGCCGCCGGAGCCGCCTGATCCACTTGATCCACCGGATCCACCTGAACCACCAGATCCACCAGATCCGGCAGAGCCACCAGATCCACTAGATCCACCTGATCCACTTGAACCACTTGATCCACCAGATCCACTGGCACCGCCAGATCCACCTGATCCGCCAGAGCTGCCGGAGCCGCCTGATCCACTTGATCCACCGGATCCACCTGAACCACCTGATCCAGCGGATCCGGTAGAGCCACCAGACCCACCAGATCCACCTGATCCACTTGAGCCACCCGATCCACCAGAACCGCCCGATCCACCGGAACCTCCAGATCCGCCGGCGCCCCCCTCAGCTCCGCCCAGGCAGTCGGGTGGGGGCTCGATCCAGTCGGGGTGGTTACAGATGTCCAATGTGTCATCGAAGAGAGTGCCCGCCGGGCAGTCGAACTCGTACGCCGAGAACCAGGAGCCGTCACCCATCCAGTCTACGCAGCGGTAGAACCTGTCGGAGCAGCGCGGGGTCACAGGTCAGCGTGAGGGTCATGTTCGCGGGGTCACAGGTCAGCGTGCGGGTCATGTCCACGGAGTCACTGGTCAGCGTGAGGGTCATTTTCGCGGGGTCACAGGTCACTTGAGGGTCCTGTTTGCGGGATCACAGGTCACGTGAGAGTCCTGTTCGCGGGGTCACAGGTCAGCGTACGGGTCATTTCCGCGGAGTCACTGGGCAGCAACCTTGACACGGGTGCTGTAGGATCGCCGCTGTGTGATGAGGCGTCGTGGTCCTGGCGGGTATATGGTCCTAACGGGTGCATGGCCCCACCGCGCACATGGCCCTGGTGAGTAAATAGTGGGTACATGGCCCAACAGGCACATGACCCCAGTCCCTCACATTGGCCACACCCTTGGTCAGGTGCCATGCGGCTGGCCGGGAATATCCGGCGGACAGGCGGCGGAACGGCACTGCTGAGCGGCTTTCGACCGAAATAAATATGCGAGACGACCATTAAGATGCACTTTACGGCCTCTGGCGATGTGCTACGTGCTGGTGGTCAATGGAATTTGGGCACTTAACACGCGCCCGGGTGGCCGGTTGGATAACCTTCGCTCGGGTGAGGGAGTCGATTTGACACCCTCACCCCCCGCTGAGATCTCAGAAAACAAGAGAGTCAGAAACATCAAATTCACAGGGTGTGTTGACCTATACATGAACTCAGTCGGGTCAAAGTTTGAGGCTCCTAGGTCATGACCTTTGGACCAAATAGGGTAAAACAAGGTCAAATTCCAGATTGGTCTCTAAAGGGTCCTTAGAACCTAGATAACTGTTCTAAGCAAAAGGTCACGTGCTCACTAAGGTCAGTGACCTTGTTTGACTTCAAAGGGCATTTTGACCAAAATCATACGAGACTGCTTTTGAGTTTTGCATTTGAATAAGCGGCAAGGATTACGCTAGGCAGTATGCTTCTGAAAACAAAATGTTAACCTGGGTCATTTTAAGTAAGTGACCTATTCTGACCTGTAAGAAATCCACAGGTGTATAATGCGGTTCTTGTTATCAATAAATTTAATTGGGCGCCAGAAACTACCCCATACAGCGGGCTCTAAAATGGTAAAACAGGTTGGTCTTGACCTTGGTCTGACCTTCATACCTGACCCTAGGCCAATGAAATTTGTTCATTCAATTGTTGTATTACCTAAGAAAGTATGTTGTTTGATCAGATTGAACGATTTCCTAGAAATTGCCTTTGCTCAAACCATGGCCTGCATTTTGCCTGCCATATGTCAGCGACTTTTCAAGGTGCATGTAAATTGTTGATGTCAGACGATCCGCTATTCAATTGTCTACAGTTATGCAAAATTGGGCGTGGCCGCGCCGCCCCGTTCGGAAAACATTCCAGAAAAAAACCTTTGAGTGGAGTCAATTTGACCTCCACCCGAGCGCGTGTTAATGTGGGCCATAAGTCTGCTGTTCTATCCTTTAGCGTGGTCAATTAAGTCAAATACTAACAAATAATCAAGGTACATGCCTAGACGTCCACCAAGATGGTGTCGGCACAGACGACCAGTATAACAGCTTACATGTTTTTGCTGTGCAAGGATGATTCAAAGGGCGTCATGAGATGGCGCTGGCGGCCGCACTCGTGCTCTCACCTGGCGCAGTTCCCCGGGTAGGGGAAGTACCCGGCCTCAGAGCAGGGCAGCTGGCTGCCGCCACCCCCGCCGGACCCTTCTTCCACTGCGCCTTCCCCCTGCCCACTGCCCTGCTGTCCGTTCTGGCCTGTTCCCCAGCCGCTGCCCTGTTGCCAATTGTTGCCCTGTTGCCAGTGGTTGCCCTGCTGCCAGTTGTTGCCCTGCTGCCAGTTGTTGCCCTGCTGCCAGTTGTTGCTCTGTTCCCAGTTGTTGCCCTGCTGGCCGTTGTTACTCTGTTCCCAGCTGTTGTTCTGCTCCCAGTTGGGAGGGAAGTGCCGGGCTTGGTCACATAGTACAACTGAAAAAGGGCGGGATGAGGTGAATGGATCACAAGTGCATCCATCCATCAGCGTGTTTCCGCCTGACATTCAAGCAAACTCCAGATCACATTCGACGAGACGCCTATCTTGTAACGTCACAAGATAAGCGCTCTGCGCTTACCGCCCCGATGGCGGAGTGGCTTGGGCAGTGGCATAGGCCCGCTGCCAATGGTAGACGCGATGAGGGCGATTCACAACAGCAGGTGGTTTCGGATCACACCCCAGGCATCGCAGATTCCCGGCGAAGGGGGGGGGGGAGCTTACTACCGGACGGTCGTGGTTATGACATTGCTGAGCGTTGGCATTGTAAAGGCACGTCACGGTTCCGGAACATTTTTGGCAACGACTGCATTTACGAAAAGACTGATACTGAGAGAAGGCATACGCGAGAATATCTATAGCCCAACAATCGCGTGAAATGTTTCACGGCTGTCTGGCCGTGTCGGAATTGTCTGGACTCACCTGGATAATGGCCCGCTGCGCAGAGCAGTAGCTGCCGGCCCAGTGCCATGACCACCGAGCTTGGGAGGACCCTAGAACACACCAGAGCTCCGTTATTTGTCACGTCCGGCTGGACCTGGGACGGGCAGGGCTTTCGGTGAGTTTTGGTCAGTGGGTCAGAGCGTACTTGGCCAGCAACCTGCGTGGAGCTCCTGGTACAGGGGTACAGGGCTCCCTGTGGAACAGAAGCTACTGCGGGACGGTGTTCAACTATCCCTGGTAATCCCCGACATCGGGAAATGCCCCGCCTTGTCCCGCACAGGAGACGCAGGCCGGAGCTGTGCGGGCACCCGCTCGTCTCCCAGCGGAGACGCGGTGAGTTCGAGCAATGGCTGATGACCGCAGCGTGCTGCTGAAGTCTATGAGTTTTGGGACGTGGAACGCAAAGGGTGGCCGATTTTCTTCCGATCATCATCCTTCGTCATCCGATCGACATCCTTCGAAATGTCCGAGGGCGTGGGTACTCTGTCAGTCAATTGGGGTCACCTAAGAGGCTTGACAGAGAGACTTCATGCAGCTTTGTAAGCGCGCTGGGTTACTGCGCGTGCGAGCAACTGACGCGATGCTCCTCCGGCATCATCGCAGTGTCCGTCGAGCCAACACACGAGGATCACATTCGGCCAAAGGGTTAACGAGGCCTGAGCGCAGCCGGTCGCGTAACTCAGTTGGCGGAACGTTGGACATTCTGACGAACATATGGAATCACGTCACGAAAATCAAGGTTATGCAACTCGCGAGTGACGCTCGGCGGTTTGGTTGGCGACTGACTAAGAGCATCAGGGCCGAAATAAGACCGGCAGCTCTTTATCTTTTACATGGCATATCAAACCTTACGGGAAAAACGAGTGGTTTAAACTTGAATTACTCTTTTGAGGTGGTGAACTCGGAAAAAAAATCACTTCATATTCTGATGATTTAGCCATGTGGTTTGGAAAAAGCATCGGCACACACCTTGTCGGCTTCACACGTGCTAAAAGCCACAGCAAAATTAAATGCCGACATTCCTGGGTTCCCAGCCTTTTGCCCGCGTTCGTCCATTGGCCCAACGCAACACGTTCCCATCCTTAACAATCAGAGTTGCGGGGTACTGTCAGCAGAATCCTTAGTACGTTAAACCTCTTATTTGGCATCTAGAACTACAGCAGCCCGTCATTTTCCACCAATTTTGAATTCTGACACATTGCTGCCCCCCCACCGGCGGTGTTCTGACCGTGGCATCGGACCGATCGGACCGACTGTCCCCCGGCCCTATCGGGCTGCAGTACCGTGTCCAATCACCACTGACCGGGCGCGGTCACACGTGTGGTCGGCACCGGCGCGCCGCCCGCCGCACTCCCACGGGAGCGCGCCGCCAGTGCCGCGCTCTGGAGCGGGTCCGGTGACGGGCGGCGCGCGGCCGGCGGATGACCGACCGGGCGGCCGCGCTGCTGACGGACCGTCAGCGGCCGCGCTGCTGGCGGAGTGGCAAGCGGGCCGCGCCGGCGGCGGGAGGCGACAGGCGGCCGTTGCTGACGGCGGGAGCGACAGCGGGCCCGCGCTGCTGGCGGCGGGAGGCGACAGCGGCCGCGCTGCTGACGGAGCGTCAGCGGGCCGCGCCGGCGGCGGGAGCGCCAGCGGCCGTGCTGGCGACGGGAGCGGGCAGCGGCCGGTGGCTGGCGGCGGGGGAGCGATAGCGGCCAGTGCTGGGCTGGCAGGGAGCTGACCTGGGCCTCAGGTTGCATCCCTGAACAGTCCGTCCCGAGGCCTGGGCTGGACCGGAAGTGGAATGCGAAAGGAATGCCAGCTCTGGATTCAGCCTGAACCTGCCTACTTCTACGTTAACTGAGTTTAACTAGACGGAGTTATGACAGGTTTTGACAGTTTATCTGAACCCGTCTCGGCTACCTCAGCCCGAGTGGAGTCTACATGAAGGAAGCGTATGACCAATGACGTGTCCGTAGACTCGGTAGAACACCTCGATCCAGGGTGGCAGCCTCATGCGCGAACCGGAAGCGACGCGGGGCGCTCGGAGGGCGTTCGACAAAAGAGAGGCGGTTTTGTTTGCCCTCTGTGTGGCGTCGCCATCGCGATAAGCACACCTCACATCCACCGCGGCAGCGGCGGAGGTGTCGATTCCCCGCCGGCCGTCCAGAACGACCGCAAACCGCCGGCGGGCTCGTCATTATGCAGCGTCGGCGTTCGAAGCACGTGCCGGAGCCGGGGCGCGCCGCCGCCGTCTGCACGACGCGCCGTCATCACACTGCATAACGCCGAGACGAGGCGTTTGCGCCGCATGTAATCAGCATACGTAATCGGGCAGTGTCCGTTGGTCATCGGCACGGTAAATGGGTGGCGCCCCGCCCCCGCGTGTGATGCGACTGTCTGGCGAGGCGCTTCCGAGCTGGGGCAGCGGAGGTCGGCTTCTGACCCGTGGCGAACCGATCGGAGGCTCCCTCCGCTCTGGCGTCCCAGGCTCGGTGAGGCGCGCACGTGGGATGCTGGTTGTAGGAACTGCTGTGCTTGACGGACAACCTCGCGTTTGTGGATTCTGGCTACCGGATGCGTTTTGGACTCTCCAGTTGCAACTCCAGTCCATTTGGACTCTACTTGGATTGGCGCGCAACAGTGCGACTCTGGTACCCTAGGTTAGTGGTCTTTAGATGGTATGGGGACACATCCACGCGTCTTGGCGCCTAACGAAGCACCTGTTGAGATGACTGAATGTGAATAGAGGTTGGGAACGTTGTGAAAAAGGCCAAGCAGATGAATGGTGGAAGGAGGAATGCAGGTGAAAGTAACGGGACAGCTTGTTTTCTGTCATTGAACAGTTTGGAGAACAGAGCAGTCGCAGCACAGTAACATGCAGCTAAAATGCACCAGCGTAGAGTCGGTGGCAGAACGCCCCAGTTACGCACAAACGCTAGTTTACGGCATTGTCATCCAGCGTCGGCCTTGCCAGAACTGCGCCTGTTCAATTATCTGCCGCATAACAATAATGTTATCGTGAATCACAAGCTTCGGTGCTAAAACTGCCTGCTGGACAGGTCAAAAGATCTCGAAGGCTCCATCCAACCGCGCTCTTTAAAAGGAGAACAAAGACTTTTGTTGTTTACTGTCGCATCACATGACAGATCGAGCATCGATCACGAAAAATTCGAAGGGATCGCTCTGGGAAGGCCCTCGCTGCCTCGCCATTGATAATTATTTGCACGCTGCGTCGTGCATGCTTTTCATGAATCGCAGCCGTTACTGTTCGGAAGCTCATGTCGCTGAGTGTTTGCAAAGTACGCATCGAAATAACAACAGGATCATTGAGAGCGTGCTACTGTGCTGGAAGTGCCGTTTCAGTGACCTGGACGAAATTGTCTGCCGCTGGCAAGGCCGTGATGACCGGTCGGTGACCTCAGATGACCTCAGGTGTCGCTGAGTCGCTGCCGGTGGCGGGCTCTTGATGATGTTCCCGTCCGAGACTGAACCTCGAGAGACTGAATCTCGAGAGACTGAATCTCGAGAGACTGAATCTCGAGGGACTAAACCTCGAGATACTGAACCTCGGGAGACTGAGTCTCAGGAGACTGAACCTCGAGAGACTGAACCTCGGGAGACTGAACCTCGGCAGGAGCGGGCAGAAACATTTTCAGGCCACGGCCCATAGCCACTTGACAGAGCGCGGCTATCTACTGAAGACCAACAAGAAGCGTGACTATTCGATATAGTGCTCCGAACCCTCATTTGGCAAGAAATTTGCATAAAAGTATGCGGCAAAACCGCGATGGGAATTTCGCTGCGACACTGAACTGACTGGTGACCTTGTTTGGCGAGCACATCGGTTCATGTTCGGCGGCTGTGGTTTCTTGACATGCAGTATCTCGAATATTTCACTTTGAGAATTGCGTTGCATTCTAACTTGATCCGCGCAATAGTTTAAAAGGAATGTGGGTAAGAGAATAACGATAAAATAACCCAATTTTCAGTTGTGAATTCTAGTAGTTAACTACTTAGGTAATCGCAATACCTACGTGCAATAAACAATACCTGCGTGCCTCATTGACAATGCACAGCGAGGCAGTAAACATCTGTTTTAGGGGTATTTGGTTCGCAAGGTCACCACATGACCCCCTTTTTGCACGAAGTCCGACGTACTCTGGGGGCAAGTTACGATGCAGACGCCAAGACTGCAGGCTGTTTCTCGAGCTGTCGTAAAAAACCGACCCCAGATGACCCCTCACCTCAAACTGGACAGCGAGCGCCTCTAACTCAACTAACAAACCATAATACGTCCATCACATGCATTCGGAGATGACGGCAGGGCACCGCAAGGGGGGGGGGGCG